GGTAATACATGCTCCCTCTGTATGTGTAATTGTGTATATCAAAAAACTCAAGTGGAAGAACGTGTGTAAATTAGGGGTGCAACGGTACAGATAGCCCACGGTACGGTCCGTACCTCGGTTTTTGGGCCACGGTCTCGGTTCGGTTTCGGTACATGTTTTGTGCAGAAAGAGACTGCTATTTCATCCCAAAAATATGTTTTATTTTTCTTATGAGCATAAACAGAATGTCACAGTAGGAAGAACATCAATGTGTATGGAATAAATTAACACTCTAGTCTGTACTGAACAACACTAAGCAATACAACCTCTTCAATTACCACTTATGATATACAAAATGTAAACGAGCACACTTTAAAATATTCAAGTGGATCCCAATTCCAAACCTTGATAACTGGTAAATGAAGTGATCAATGTGAAAGAAAAAGTGCACTTTTACCTTTAACAAAAATTAGCTTGTGGTTTGAATAAAAAGAGCAGAGCAAAATAATATAATAAAAAAAAAAAAATACTGCATTCAGATACAAAGTGCAAAGTTACTAATCCACTTTTGAGAGATTCTTGTGCAAAAATATACTGCAGTCAAACATTTGACTGGGTTTGCGTTATGCATCCACTATGTGCTGGGAATGTAGAGAGTAGGCTACGGAGCGGAGGTGAGGCGTTTATTTAGTAAGCGTGAGCGCGCTGGGGCGGGCACGTAACTTACATTCGCAGCCTGACTCATATTATTCAATGTGCGGCGGCTCACTAACAACAGTTGGCTGTTTTGAATGAGACGACCCGTGTGAACGGGGAGCGCTTTATGAACATCTATGACGCGCGAGCAGCGCCGGTCTGTTCGTGTGTCTGTTAGAGTGAGCGCTCGTGAGCGACACACACATAACCTGATTTATACGAGGTTGAACTGGCCGTGTGACAAAGCGGGCATAAGCTGGACACGAGCGCGAGTTCACGGGCGAATTTAATCCATATATGATATGGATCTAATATAAGGCACACTGTTGTTTTTTGAGAAGATTAAAGGCTTTTAAGTGGGCCTTTTATAGTGCGGAAAATACGGTTAAAGGATCAGCACGAACTCTATGGCAGAACCGAAGTCCCGCGGGACACGAGGTTAGATTGTCCCGTGCAGGGCTGACCGAACGGTCCGGGATTTTACCATGTACCGTTGCATCCCTAGTGTAAATACATTGTTGTTGCAAAATGTAGTTACATAATGCCTGTTACACATGTGTACTTACTCTAGTGAAAAAAGTGTTGTTACTAATGTCCTGTTACACATTTGTACTTACCCATACCTTTCAGTGTGTTAATACATTTGTGTAGTTACACAAATATTACAGCTGTAAATACTATGTACCAATGTGTACTTACACTGTACTTACATACTTAGTACATATCTAGTAACCATGTTAGTTCACAGGCAGGGACGTGCACAGGAATTTTGAGGGGCAGTTGCTCTGACCTGAAAAAAGGGCACCCCCCCCCCCCTCCTCCCCCCTCACGGGCTATATGAAGGAATATATTCCGTTGAATTTGTCCCCTTCCAAATTCCAAACGCAATGCCTCATCTTATGGTCTTATTATTATTTATAAAGATTGCAAAATGTCAGAGATGAGACAAATGAGCAAAAGAGTTCCTCATATTGTTGTTTATTGTTTTTTAAATTATTATTATTTATTTATTTGAAAAGAAATAATCTGGATTGAAAGGTAAAACTCGAAAAAATTAAAAAAACGCTTAGATTTCGGGAAAAAATACAATCCTTTTTTGCCAATCCTGACCTCCCCCTGGGGCCCTAAGCAAAATTCTGCTAAGGGGCCCTCTACCTGATCTGTGATGCCGTGAGCCATGTAAACCATTTGCCATTGCCACTCAATACCGCCCAATACAAAATAGTCAAAGAATAAGTACAACAATATAGACCATTTTGCAAGATGTAAACAACACTGGTCCAGAAACACTTCCTGTTTCAGTCTGTAACTGTTTTCTTTATTTCACATGTAAAGAAAAATCTTAAAGATGTTGTTTAACTTTTTGATTCAGTTTTACATGTTCTGTTGGTTGTATTTTATCCCAGCTTTTATGTAGTTTTAAAAACTGAAACAGGACGTGCTTCTGGACCAGCGTTGTTTACATCTTGCAAAATGGTCTATAGAACAGAATGAGGTTCAAACAAACAATATTTACTGAATAAAGCATTTTTATAGAATGTTAAGATAACAAGTGAATATTAACGTAAACATAAATAAGAAGAAAATAATAAAGTACAACCCTGAACTTTGGTTTTGGGATTAACTTTGGTTCACTCTACAGCCTGGGTATTTTCGGATATCAGTAGCCTATGATTTTTTTATATTTAAAAAAAAAAATTATGCATGTTAAAGCAAATCTTGATTTATGGTTATTTACTGAGGGATTTGCATTCATATTGACCAGAATGTCCAGCCTAATCATCATTTTAAATTCAATATAGCCAATAAATCAATAGTCAATCAATGTCAAATTGCCAATACATTTTCTATCTTGCATAATTAGTGCAATTGTTTAGAGTTTTTACTGAGACTAGATAATCAGTGTCTTTAAAATGTGTACTTTGATTGGGAGTGCCATCATTCACGTATTGTACAGTATTTCTGGTCTCCACATTTCTGCTTGAAAATGCGAGTTTCATTTCGTGCACGCGCATATGAACGCAACACACGCGACGCGGTTATGTTTTCCGAGCTGCAGTAAACAAACACTGTTGTTGCACTTTGTCGTTTATCAAAAACAAAAACGTAATAAATAATGGTATTTTACTCTCACATTTGTCAGGCAAAAAGTGATGCAAGAGATGCACTGTCTGCCCAGATAGTTAGCAAGACCAAAACCATCAAACTTTGCTGACATCAAACCTAGAGAGGAGAGAACACAAGTTTACCTGACTGCTGTTTCCGCAATTCACTTTCATGTTTTTCTTCTTCCTCTTTTCGTGACGAGAAAGGATAGTTTCGCTTCATTTTGTCATGGACTTCGTACACATTAATTAGCGCGCGACAAGAGATGGAGGCGCGGCCTGAGTAATTTGCGGTGCCTTACCACGCGTGCGGCACTGCAGCCACGTAAACAGTTTGACTTTCACTTTCAGTGCCCGAATGGAAGTGAATGAGGCTTTGCGATTTTTATATTATTATTTATTTTGGTATTTTTGTCTAGGCCTACGTGAAATTGTACATCCATTGTACGATTTTTTTTTCCTCGGAAGGGCAACCTGGGTCGAGAAGGGCATATGGGCAGTTGCCCGGGCAACCTGAGCAACCCCCCTGTGCACGTCCCTGGTTGTTTCGATGTCATGAGAGACGTCGTTTCCACGTCGATTCAATGTCAGTTTGCTGTCTGGGAAATGTGTCATTGAGCGATTTGTGAATTGCTTTTATTTGTACATCTGGTGGTGATGGTAAAAAAAATCAAATCTTTTGCGTTCCCTCGCAAAACATATTATATTTTATATTATAAAGTTCGTTCTGAGAAAAATTGGGTTGTAGCTCACTGTCTATGGTACTATGATTAATAATGTTTAGCCCACAATTTATTGATCTGGGAAGTTTGAATCTGTGAAGGATTATTAGGAACACCTGTTCAATTTCTCATTGATGCAATTATCTAATCAACCAATCACATGGCAGTTGCTTCAATGCATTTAGGGGTGTGGTCCTGGTCAAGACAATCTCCTGAACTCCAAACTGAATGTCAGAATGGGAAAGAAAGGGGATTTCAGCAATTTTGAGCGTGGCATGGGTTGTTGGTCTCAAGAGTATTTCACAATCTGCTCAGTTACTGGGTGTGGGTGCGAGATGCAAATCTCACAAATGAGATAAATGTGCATTGGCTCATTCTGTTGACACTCAAAGATGATAGGGCTGACGTAACGTCTCTGTTCCCTTCTTTAGGGAATGAGGGAAACCATACGTAACCGAGACGTTTTTGAGAAGAATGCAAATATCTTTCCGGGGCGATGCAAAAGTTTCTCAGAGGAATGCAAAAGGTTTGAAAAATCCCAATTTTTTTCCCACCACCACTGGTGTCGCAATGTAAAGATTTTTTAAAAGAGAGCATTTAAACGTTTTTTGTCTGCCTCTTTAAAGGCTATTTGTTACCGTAAGGCAGTATCCCACCGTGAACTTTTAACTTTAAATAAAATTATATACATCAGGTGTCACAACAACCATGCTGGATCTTTGCTGGATCATGCTGCATGTGTTTGACCAGCAGATGTCCTCAGTGGGCAAGTTCTGCACACTGGATTTGTTTGATAATTGGTCTAATATAATAATGAATAATTTGTAGCAGATCTGAACACTTACGTCCACATACACTCAAGTAAATAACAGGGCAGAATATGAAAATGTGGATGTGAAGTAATTTAAACACAACTAAAGGTTGAAATTCACATCATAATATCACAAATTAATGATATTAGTAATAAAAAATATTAAGAAAATAAGTAATGTAAGAGCTGTTAGTTTGGGTTAAAACAAAAAAAAAAACCATTATATTTATATTTTATGGAAGTAGTCTGATATATAAAGATCTCATCGGTTTACATTACAATCCATTACAATTTCATCTTGGTTTTTGACTATATAAATATCACCAATTGTACAAAATTGCATATTTTTGTTTTTTCTCCTCCTTGATAAAAGCCTGATTTATCAAAAAAAAAAAAGAAAAAAAAAAGAAAGAAATAAAATAAAAACATGCAAATGTTTGGTAACTTTTCATATATATATATATATATATATATATATATATATATATATATATATATATTATATATATATATATATATATATATATATATATATATATATATATATGTCTAAAGATTTAATAAAATGCTCCATTTCAAAAATATTGATTTTTCTGACTACTATTTAATATGTCAGGCTTTACAGGGTTAATTATATAAAATCTGCACAATATGCTTTAAGAAACAAAAACAACAATAGCACAATGATAACATTCAGAGAGTACATGAAAATGCACTATTTTATTGTCCATGAATTCAACAGCTTCAAGATTGACTTGAGTAAACATTCATTATGCCATAAACATTCTGCCCAGGTGTGAACACAGTAAAACTGATCACACAACCTGATCAAACTGTACACATGATAGAGATTTTCAGGTCAACTAAATCCTATTGGAAGAGCTAGAACATGGCAATTGGCTTGCATATCAATAAATAAAATAATCTTATCCAAATATACTTCATTCGATCCTGAGCTATACATATATTCAAGAGATTTATAACCTATTGAAAGTCATTTGCCTGGTTTGATGTAGAGCGACTGACACATTAGATGACGAGGGAAGCAGAGCCTTTCATAATGTTAATAATGCACAGTCTAAATCCAGTGTAGGCTGGTCAGGTCCTTTCTTCATGGGTCCAGTAACACACAATGACTATTTGAGAACACTCGCAGTCTTCAGGCTCATTGTCAACACGATCTGAGAAAGACTTTGCATAAATACGTGAGAGTTTGCATAGTTGCAAGGCGGCCACAGAGAGAGAGAGAGAGAGAGCGCCAGCGCTGGAAGACTCTCCTATGGACAGTTGCAGTGGTGACCGTCAGTTACCTGTGTGTGGACAGACAGACAGCGCTGGTGAACGAGCGTCAGACTGCTGTGTGAATGACGTAAGAGAGTGTGTGATCGCATGTACCTCTCTCTGAGAGTGAGTGCAGGGTTGTTGCTGAGGAAAGAGAGCTGCTGCTCCAGGCTACACACTCGAAAGGCCAGGTAACACGACGACAGGATGAGCAGGATAATGCTGCGGGACAGAAGTGACATTACAAGTGGAAACCGAACACTAGACGAGCTACAGTAAGCTACACTGTGAGCGCTGAGATCACGGAGAGCCGTACGGAGGTCCAGGTGGACACTAGATGGCACCGTTGGGAGCTAAAAATGTAACAACTATTGATATGATCACTGTCATCTCAGTTGCTTAAATAAATTAAGTAAACACACATTTTATATTCATAAATATTATTTCTAAAAGTAAGCTATACCTAAATATTATAATGCTGAGACTGAGATTTGGAATTCTGAACTGAAAATGTTTTAAATATAATATTGTATTGTTTTATTATTATTATATATTATTTAATATAATATTATTGTTAGTTGTAGTAGTAGTTTCAATTAGTATTACTAATAATGATAATTTATTATTCATTTATTAAATATTATTAATTCTCACCTGAAGAGCAGAGGACATAGACATATGCTTGGATTTTTTATTATTTTAATATATTTTTTAATTGTATTATTTTGTAATAAATGAGAATTTATTAATGTACTATTATTCATTCATTAATATTATTATTATAATGTTTAATATTATTTAATATATTATTAGTATTAATAACAATAATTTTATTATTGATTTTTGTATCATATTATTATTTATTCATTATTAGTATTTTTATATTGAATATGATTTTCATATATTTTCTTTAATTTTGTTCCTTATAAAGTATAGGCATGAAGCACACAAAGGTAAATAGTTGAAATCTAATGTATTGTTTTAATAATAAAGGTTGTTCTGAAAAGTTAATGTATTTGTTGGGTGAATTTGTTGATTGATTATTATTTGCGGTTCTTAACATATTCTGTTAAGCATGTTGTTTTATTATCCAGAAACACATAACTGCACTGGCGAGTGCACACGTGGAGTTTCCACACGTGTGTGTATCTGTGCTGATCCGCATAAATCAGGCCGTGCCGATGGGGACGGATTACTGGAACAGGTGGACTGGCATACACACACAAGTTTGTGTGACAATATAATGAGAAAATCTCCCCTGCCTCTTGATTTGATCTATTTATAAAGCCTAAAAAAAGTTGACTAAAAAAGTATGATAATATGCGTATATAATTTTCCAAGCATGTGTCGATCCGTATAGTTTGTATTTTAATTAAATAAGTTTAAATGTGTGTGTGTGTAAGAGTGAGTGCGTGCGTGTGTGTGTGTAAAAATAAAAAAATGATGATTCAAGTGCATTAGGTGTCCTGAAACAATATACCGTTCTCTGTGACAGCACACAAGCAAATTATTTGTTTAGCCAATCATACGGTTTTGAGGCAATTTCTGACTCAGTAAGACAGGACAACATTTATAAAGGTAAGACTAAGAACACACACACACAGACACACACAGCGAGGATGACCAGCCAAACTCACAGCAGGATGAAGAACTTCAGTAGCTGGTACTCCATCTGACCCAGCTCTGGTATCGTCTCTGTCAGGAGGAACTTCTTGGTTTCCAGACATTGATCTGAAGCGGATCACAGAATCACGGGATGATTTAAGTCCTGCAGTGTGACTTACACCAGTCTTTTCTTTCTTTAATAAATGAACAAATGTCTCATATTAAGGCCCAGAGCCTCAGAGTCACACCCATGTATTACATCATCATCACCGAACAATGATGGATCGAAAGTGTTTACCAGCCAGAGTGAACTTCGTTACGGCCTGACTTTGTTTGAAATGACCGTTCACAGCAGTTCACTCTTCGATATGACTTGAAGTATATTAGGGCCTTTAGTTGAAAGACTATATTTGGTGAAATAAAATACTCATAGAATATATGAACTACCCATAACGGCCAAAAAAAGCTTTTAACATTATACAAACAAGCATTACATCAATTAGTCTTAAGCAGAGGCTGATATTTTAATGTTTTATCTCCATATTTTTAATCTTCTTCTGGGCTTAATCCCGTATTGCATAATGGACCCGATTCCTGCGGTCAACCAACCAATCACAAGACAGGCAGAGGCACATTTTTTTTAGCACATTTCATACACTATGGCTTACGTAGAAAGGAATACAATAATCATAAAATAAAAGCAAGGAAAATTAAAACAATAATTAAAAAATGCTTTATATAGAAAGGAATTAAAATCACACTATGGCAATTCAAAGTGCGTTATACAGGGAATTAAAAGAGATAAATGATACAGTTATACAATTAATTAGAGTAAAATGAATTTAAGTAGTAAAAATAAACATAGAATGAACTTCTCATCTGGCAAAATACCAGTGTATCTTATTTTGCATATAGTTTTACTCTTACGTTGTGTCTGTAGTTTTACTCTTACGCTGTGTCTGTAGTTTTACTCTTACACTGTTTGTAGTTTTACTCTTACGCTGTGTCTGTAGTTTTACTCTTACGTTGTGTCTGTAGTTTTACTCTTACGTTGTGTCTGTAGTTTTACTCTTACGCTGTGTCTGTAGTTTTACTCTTACACTGTTTGTAGTTTTACTCTTACGCTGTGTCTGTAGTTTTACTCTTACGTTGTGTCTGTAGTTTTACTCTTACGTTGTGTCTGTAGTTTAACTCTTACACTGTGTCTGTAGTTTAACTCTTACGCTGTGTCTGTAGTTTTACTCTTACGCTGTGTCTGTAGTTTTACTCTTACGCTGTGTCTGTAGTTTTACTCTTACGCTGTGTCTGTAGTTTTACTCTTACGCTGTGTCTGTAGTTTTACTCTTACGCTGTGTCTGTAGTTTAACTCTTACGCTGTGTCTGTAGTTTAACTCTTACACTGTTTGTAGTTTTACTCTTACGCTGTGTCTGTAGTTTAACTCTTACACTGTTTGTAGTTTAACTCTTACGCTGTGTCTGTAGTTTAACTCTTACGCTGTGTCTGTAGTTTTACTCTTACGCTGTGTCTGTAGTTTTACTCTTACGCTGTGTCTGTAGTTTTACTCTTACGCTGTGTCTGTAGTTTTACTCTTACACTGTGTCTGTAGTTTTACTCTTACGCTGTGTCAGTTGTTTTACTCTTACACTGTGTCTGTAGTTTTACTCTTACACTGTTTGTAGTTTTACTCTTACACTGTGTCTGTAGTTTTACTCTTACACTGTCTGTAGTTTAACTCTTACGTTGTGTCTGTAGTTTTACTCTTACACTGTGTCTGTAGTTTTACTCTTACACTGTATCTGTAGTTTAACTCTTACGCTGTGTCTGTAGTTTTACTCTTACGCTGTCTGTAGTTTTACTCTTACGCTGTGTCTGTAATTTTACTCTTACGCTGTGTCTGTAGTTTTACTCTTACGCTGTCTGTAGTTTTACTCTTACGCTGTGTCTGTAGTTTTACTCTTACACTGTGTCTGTAGTTTTACTCTTACACTGTGTCTGTAGTTTTACTCTTACGCTGTGTCTGTAGTTTTACTCTTACACTGTGTCTGTAGTTTTACTCTTACACTGTGTCTGTAGTTTTACTCTTACGCTGTGTCTGTAGTTTTACTCTTACACTGTGTCTGTAGTTTTACTCTTACACTGTGTCTGTAGTTTTAGTCTTACGCTGTGTCTGTAGTTTTACTCTTACACTGTGTCTGTAGTTTTACTCTTACGCTGTGTCTGTAGTTTTACTCTTACGATGTGTCTGTAGTTTTACTCTTACGCTGTGTCTGTAGTTTTACTCTTACACTGTGTCTGTAGTTTTACTCTTACGCTGTGTCTGTAGTTTTACTCTTACGCTGTGTCTGTAGTTTTACTCTTACACTGTGTCTGTAGTTTTACTCTTACACTGTGTCTGTAGTTTTACTCTTACACTGTGTCTGTAGTTTTACTCTTACACTGTGTCTGTAGTTTTACTCTTACACTGTGTCTGTAGTTTTACTCTTACACTGTGTCTGTAGTTTTACTCTTACGCTGCGTCTGTAGTTTTACTCTTACGCTGTGTCTGTAGTTGAACTCTTACGCTGTGTCTGTAGTTTAACTCTTACGCTGTGTCTGTAGTTTTACTCTTACACTGTGTCTGTAGTTTTACTCTTACATTTTGTCTGTAGTTTTACTTTTACGCTGTGTCTGTAGTTTTACTCTTACGCTGTGTCTGTAGTTTTACTCTTACACTGTGTCTGTAGTTTTACTCTTACGCTGTGTCTGTAGTTTTACTCTTACACTGTGTCTGTAGTTTTACTCTTACACTGTGTCTGTAGTTTTACTCTTACGCTGTGTCTGTAGTTTTACTCTTACGTTGTGTCTGTAGTTTTACTCTTACACTGTGTCTGTAGTTTTACTCTTACGCTGTGTCTGTAGTTTTACTCTTACACTGTGTCTGTGGTGTTACTCTTACGTTGTGTCTGTGGTGTTACTCTTACGCTGCGTCTGTAGTTTTACTCTTACATTTTGTCTGTAGTTTTACTTTTACGCTGTGTCTGTAGTTTTACTCTTACGCTGTGTCTGTAGTTTTACTCTTACACTGTGTCTGTAGTTTTACTCTTACGCTGACCCAGAGACCCAGGCCATCATCTCTCATTCACAGAGATATGACGTCAAAGTCAAGCGATCAGCTTGTTCCCGAATAACATAAAATCATTTAGTGGAAATTTTTTCATTCCATCACAGAAACATTAGATCAAATGGGGACATTTGAGATATTAATCTGCTCATAATGCATTTTCAACAGCAGATTTTTACCAGGCTTTACCCTCTTCAGAAGCTCAGCACAAAAACGGACTTTTTCTCTCATCAGTCGGCAGTGTTAAACTGTCGTCACATGACTTCATTGCTTTTCATGGTTATTTCAGAAAGGGCCATCCAATTCTTTATCTTGGAAATAAATATACTTTTTTATTCTTGTATTGTTCAATTGCCTTCAGTTTTGATGTGTCTAAAATCTCATAATAAGTCAAGAACGACATCAAGGTTGATATTGCTTGTCTCATTTCTCTTTAACTATAACAATCCAAGTTATAGTATGCAATATACAGTATTATCTAGGTATTTCATGCATACTGTGCACAGTATATACACATTACATATTAGGAAGTGTTAGTTATTTTAATAGATGTTTTTAGAGCTTATATTAATAGTAACAAATAATTACTTTTCTGTGACCTTTATAGAGATTTTATTTGAAATCACTTTATAGAGATTTCTGAACCGATCATAATTACATCATTAAAGAATCCAGACCGAAAAATGTTCGGGTTCGGGCTGGCATCCAGGCTACCAGAATACCATATCCCATTTTCCATAGTATGAAATATGTAAATGTTTTTTTGGAGGGTCACTCACCCTCCAGAGGCTCGTCTGTCTGGAAAGGGGCGTCTACGGCACTCAGGCTGCTGGTGGAGTTTCCCAGTAAATCCGGTAGAGAAGACGACACAGACACCACTGACGGCTTCCTCCTCCACTTCAGCACCGGAGGAAACTCGTCTGGGACAGGGAAAACTTCAGGGACGGGGAACTCATCCTACACCACCAAATGGAAGGACAGGACACACTAAGATTCACTAAAAGTGAACTGCATACATCCCTTTTTTATAAACAATCATTTACAGCCTGCATGTGTGGGGCAGTAATATTGCGAATGGGATTCTCTAATGAAACTAATCTGAGACTTGAGTTTGCAGGTAATTTACGTGCAACGAGGCGCAAAAACATTTATGCAATACTTGTACTACAGTTATATCTGATATATCCATCCATTTTCTACCTCAGGATGGAGTAACGACAGATTACGTCATCTCCAGTTTGCATCCAATGCTCTCAGGACAACTGAGAAGGTTTCAGATGACGGCAACTCTGGAATCGACACGCAAAACTTTCAAATACTATCCAAATATTGTAATATTATCCTTATATTGTAATCAATACGAGCTTTTTTTGTCTGTTTAAAGGGATACTCCAGTTTTTTTTTTTGGAAATAAGCTCATTTTACACCTCCCTCAGAGTTAAACTGTTGAGTTTTACCATTTCAGTTGATTTTCTGATATTTAGAAGAATATCAGTAACCAGACAGTTTCTAATCCCATTGACTTCCATAGTAGGAAAAAAAATATACTATAGAAATCAGTGGGACCAGAAACTGTCTGGTTTCTGATATTCTTCTAAATATCAGAAAATCGGCTGAATGGATTCGAAAACGGTAAAACCCAACTGTTTAACTCTGGGGGAGTTGTAAAATGAGCCTATTTCTGAATACATATCTAGTTCAATCATGAAACTCTAGAGGGCGCGGACTGAGCGGTCCTTTATCGCCAGAGGATTGGCCTATTCTGATCCTGCATCCAATTGGATTGCTTTCTTGACACAAATGGTCTGTTTCCAGTCCTTTCTGAGCTCCTCTGAGACCTTCCACCTCCCTAGCTCCACCTGCCTAGATCTGTTGCAGATTTATGTCTATTTATTCAGAGAATATCAGATCTAGTTCACCAAGACCAGATACATTAACATTGCCTTGTTCAATAACATGCTAAAGCTATTTTGCCCACATAACATACTATATTACTGCCATTTGCACATTACTTTGATAGACTTGAACAGAATACTCGTAACATTGAAACAAGCCTTTTCTGTAAAGCTGTTTTGAAACAATATGTTATTGTATTGGTGTTTAAAGCACTTTCAACATATGTGCCATACAAATAAACCACTATAATTAGTAGGCGGATATTCTGCACAAAAATGTAACAAGCTAATTTTTCTCCAAATGCCAGAGCAATGAAGACTCTGAAACGTACCAGAGATATAGAGTTAGGCTCCTCCATGTACTGCTTGAGGCAGAGGATCTTCTTCCCATTGACCTGAATGACAGATAGCATGTAGCATGAACACACTAATGCTGTTTACATAATGATCCAGCCCAAGCGTATAGAGTTAACTCTCACCTGTAGATGTGTGCAGATGCGTCTCAACACGTCATAGACGCTGTCTCTGGACAATAGAGACACAAACACGTACTGTGCAAGGAGAGGACACAAACATATCAAAACGTTATAATGCATGGTGGGTGTGGCATGTCAAGCCAAATTCCTGCTGGAAAACCCAACTAAAACCAGCTATTGGTTTTGAAACATGTTTGTGGGTTTCAAACTGGTCCAGTGGGGGAAAACATACACTCTTAGAAGAAATGGTTCTATTTAGAACCAGAAATGGTTCCATCCCCCGCTTCATACATGGAACTCCAAAATGGTTCTATATAGAACCATTTTTTTGGTAAAAGGTTCTATTGGCCAAGTATGGAACCCCAGGGCTCTATAAAGAACCCTGAGTGTATAGAACCTTTTAGGGGTTCCAAATACGTAGCGCTAATAGAACCTTTTAAGGTTCTATATAGAACCTTTTCTTCTAATGCTACGTTCACACCGGACGCGAATAGGGCGTCAGGCGCGAATGATTTCAATGTTAAGTCAATGCAAAGACGCTTTACGCGCGTGAAAAATTCCTGCGGCGCGAATGAGGCGTGGAGCGCGGCGCGGAAGACGCGAATACGCCTCATTCGGGCGTCAAGTTGGCGCGAATGGCGCGAATTGAGCGTTGTGCATTCACGCGTTTGACGCGAATTCGCGTCTGCCGCCCGAGTTGAAAAATCTGAACTTTGGCGTGAATTCGCGCCGCGTTAACCAATCAGGAGCCTAGCTGCTTGCTCACGTGGTGAAGTGTCTGGATGCTTCAATAAATTATTTTGTTAATATGACTAAATGCATGGTGGGATTATGCACAACAAAGCAAATGTTTCATCACTTAAAACATTATTTCTATATACGAGACATGTTCATTTTGTATTATTTATTCCATATCTAGAAATAGTATTATGTTGTAAAGACAATCAACATAGCCTATGTGCATAAATTCGTGTCTGGACGTGAGAGAGAAAAAAAAATCAAAGGACAGGTTTATAACTTTTGAAGGCTGGCTCTATTTATCATCAAAACAAAAATAAATGACAGCTAGATTAGGTGGATGAGGGTGAGGGTGATCCTCGCTCCGATGCGGGACAACAGGTCATCAAACTGAGCGCGTGACAGGCGGAAGTACCGCTGACAGCGGCCGTCATCCAGCGCAGCTCCTGGAGAGAGCAAATGGTGAAACTCGCCAAACGGTTCGGCTCCGAAGGGTCCGGTGGACACAAATATACGGCGACGATGATCCCCACGCCGCTGTTCTGCTCTCCAGAGTAAATACAGAGCGGTAACTCTCTTGATGAATGCCTGGTCGACATAAAAACAATGGCCGCCAACGGATTTTGATTCTGACGCGTGTAAATTTCGCTTCAAACTTTACGCGCGCCAGTTTCGCTCTTGACACGCGAATTAACAATAGTGGTCAAGCGTCAAACTAGACGCGTCAGGCGCGAATTTGACGCGCGATTCGCGTCCGGTGTGAACGTAGCATAAGAGTGTAGGGTCCATTGCTGGTTGAAGGTTCAGAACCTTTTAAAAAAATAGCTACTGTAGTCCAAAACATGGCATCTTCATGACCTAAAAGCTGGTCAACCTTCTCTAAACCAAAGTGAACCACACTTTATGTTTTCACAGTGATGCCAAGAACCATTTTTAGCTTCCCAAAAAAACTTTTCAGGGAACCAACATTTTCTTGGTATATTTTAATAATCTAAAGAACCCTTTTCTACTATAAAAGAACATTTAGTGCAATGGAAAGGTTCTTAATGGAACCATTAATGCCAATAAAGAACCTTTGTTTTTTTATGTTCCAAGACACATTTACCACCTTAAACTGATTTTAGTTGGATTTTTCAGCAGAGATTGAAATTGAGATTTCACAATGTAGCCACATATAATCTCACTACCGGGAAAAGGATCACTAAGAGAACCGTTTGGTTCCCATTGAAGTCCATTATATGGAGAAAATCCTGGAATGTTTTCATCAAAAACCTTAATTTCTTTTCGACTGAAGAAAGAAAGACACGGACATCTTGGATGACATGTAGGTGAGTAAATTATCAGGAAAAGTTTTTTGAAAAGTGAACAACTCCGTTAAACAAAGCAAAACGGTATAAAATGTGTAATGCTGATGAAGTCAACCTGGAGTCTCAGTGGTGCAGCCATTTGCATTTCCAGTGTTTGGCAGCAGCGCAAGCATGTTCTGACTAAGCTTTGTATTTCAATCTGCCAGTCGGTGACCTGCGACCCAGTGGAAACGCACCTTCTGACTGCTGTCTGTGGTGATAGCCAAGCCATTGGGAACCAGACCCGCTGTCTTATGTTTCTTCACCATCCGCACAGACGCAACAGGAATGGCCACCTGAGAGGCAAGAGAAAGTGCCAGAAAAAAAGCAAAAAGTTTCAAAGTGCGGCTTCATAGAGGAATTCTTGCAGGATGGAAACTGGACCGGCTTCATCGAATTACTAAATAACGTGTTGCACAAAGGAACGATATAACATTACGCTTCACTCAGCATAGCAAACTGCAACATGGCGCACAGCTGAAAGTGAACTAAACACTGTTGATCTATACGATTATTTGCGATCATTATTTGAATTAATAATATCATACTAAATACAGTATTTAGTACAAAGTACACTGGAATTGATACTACCAAAATATTCCCAGCTATCCATTGAAATTATGAAATTAAGCAGCTAATAAAAATGTAACTTTAGAGTGAAGGAACGTTAACTATAAAAATAACTATAACGATAACTTTATTAGTGTCCACACCAGCGGACAATACAATTGTTTATTCCAAGCATCTGTTGCTTTAAATGCTCAACCACTTTAATGCAGGATGGATTCTGATTGGCTGTTAGTGTTTTTATCGTTCATCAGCTGGAAAAAAAAAATTTCTTAAAGTGATTCCAGTGGTATAATTTCTCTGTGCCGATATAACGATAATGATAACGGTAAAGATATACTCCTAAAAATCACTTAAGTTCACACCACAACAATACTGATAACGGCACAGAGAAACAACATCAATGAAATCCCTTTCAAACAATTCAGCTGATAACCGATGAAAACAATGACAGCCAATCAGAATCCACCAGACTTTAAAAAGCTCAAGGTTTTGACAAAAAAGTGTAGTGCGCTTCGAATAAACAGAAAGATATCGTCCGCTGGTGTGGGTGCTGCTATAGTTAGTGTCAAGTTATCTTTATAGTTATCAATATTGGTGTGAACAGGCCTTAAAGGGACAGTTCACCCCAAAATGAAAACTCTGTCAGTAATTACTCTCCCTCATGTTGTTCCAAATCCATAAGACTTTCGTTCATCTTCGAAACACAAATTAAGATATTTTTGATTAAATCTGAGAGCTGGATCACTCCTCCATAGGCTTCAATGGGATTGAAACTTGCCGGCCCAGAAAAGTTATTAAAGACATCGTTAAAATAGTCCAAGTGACTACAGTGGCTCAACCTTAAGTTTATCAAGCGACGAGAATACTTTTTTGTGCGCAACAAACAAAAATAACGACTTAATTTATCTATTCACTTCCTTCCCTTTTGCACACAAAAAAATATTCACGACTTAAAGGAGTAGTTCACTTTAAAAAAAAAAAATTTTTGCTGATAAGTTACTCACCCCCATGTCATCCAAAATGTCCACGTCTTTCTTTCTTCAGTCGAAATGAAATTAAGGTTTTTGATGAAAACATTCCAGGATTTTTCTCCATATAATGGACTTCAATGGGAACCAAATGGTTCAAGGTCCAAAAGACAGTTTCAGTGCAAACTGCAAACTGTTCAAAGGGCTTTAAATGATTCCAGACGATGAATAAGGGTCTTATCTAGCGAAATGATCGCTCATTTAAAAAAAATAAAATAACAAGTTTAAGTTTTATAAGCTCAAATGCTCGCCTTGCTCTGTTCTGTGATGCGGGTTCGTGACTCTCATATTCGAACTCGTTCATCAAAATGAACAAATCGTTTCCCGTGTTAATTCGTTCATTTTGTTCGTTCAATGAGCCAAATGACACGAAAAAAGATTCGTCTTTTGGACCTTGAACCGTTTGGTCCCCATTGAAGTCCATTATATGGAGAAAATCCTGGAATGTTTTCATCAAAAACCTTAATTTCTTTTCGACTGAAGAAAGAAAGACATGGACATCTTGGATGACATGGGGGTGAGTAAATTATCAGCAAAAGTTGTTTTTGTTTTTTTTAAGTGAACTACTCCTTTAAAATCAAAAAATATCTTAATTTGTGTTCCGAAAATGAACAGGGTTGAACAACATGAGGGCGAGTAATTACTGACAGAGGTTTCATTTTTGGGTGAACTATCCCTTTAACTATAAAGAAAGTTAACCCAGCGTTTAGGAACGTACAGTGTGAAACGCTTTTACTCGGGTTTACAACGGGGGGTTAACTAGTGTGAAAAGCCGGGGTATACTGTGGCAAAATACAGTTTCATATATAACGTTCAGTTTTCAAATCAAACATATGCCACCGTTTCCAGGGAATGAAGCTTTAGTCGTGTCTCTCCGAGCTCGAATCATAAGCTGAAGACGTGACGCTCACCTTGATGTCTTTACCGAAGAGGTTGGCGTAGAAGCACAGCCAGTTTCGAGAGATGTAGAGTCGGCCTTGCAGGAGGATGTCCCGCAGCAGGGCACAGGAGTACACTAAAGAAGAGGACACAAGTGCACTTACACACGAGAACTGAAGTATGCTGATACTCTCGAGTGACACAACGGCATCAGATTCTCTCTTCAATGACGGCTCAAAGCGGTTCAAATGTCAGATAGATCACAACATTATCAAACGTCAAGATGAACGGGGTCCAAACACTACAAATCTGGAATTCCAAATATAATTTAATTCTTGGAGAAAAAGTTTCAGGATTATAAAATATTTGGAAGGAATACAAAAAAAGTTACGATTTTTCACTAAGTTAAATCAATTTAATTAATGTACATCAACCTCTCACGGCAGTTATTCGGCTTGTGAATTTTACATAATACTATGAAATATTTAATTAAATATAAAAAAATAAAAAATATATATAATAACAAATTATTATTAATTATAATTATATTATATTAAAATTATATTAAAAATATAAATATAAAAATGTAATATTTAATTTAATTTGACATTAAAATCTTAAATGTTTTTGCCAAGTTTGAGTTTATTTGGTCCAAAAACGAAGGCGTTTATAATGTTAGAAAAGTTTTTTATTTCAGATAAATTCTGCACATATGAACTTTCTATTCATCAAAGATCCCTGACCATTTTTTAACACAACTGTTTTCATCATCGATAATAATCAGAAATGTTTCTTGAGCATCAAATCAGCATTCTGAAGGATCATGTGACAGACTGCTGAAAATTCAACTTTGATCACAGGAATAAATTACATGTTACAATATATTGACATAGAAAACAGTTATTTTAAATTATAAAAATATTTCATAATTTTAACGTTTTTACTGTATTTTTGATTAAATAATTGCATCTCTGGTGAGCAGAAGAGACTTCTCTTACCAATCTAAAACTTCTGAACGATAGTGAATATTGTTTAGATTATGCTTTAAAATAATAATAATGAAAATAATAATAAAAATGCATGTAAACTAAACATTGTATATTATTACATTTTTATTAAATTGTATGTTTTTGACATTCAAATTTTAATTGTTTTTGCCAAGTTTGAGTTTATTTGATCCAAAAAAAGAAAAGAAAGGCGTGTATAATGTTCGAAAAGCTTTTTATTTCAGATAAAAGCTGTGCATATGAACTTTCTATACATCAAAGATCCCTGACCATTTTTTTAACACAACTATTTTCATCATCGATAATAATCAGAAATGTTTCTTGAGCATCAAATCAACTTATGATTTCTGAAGGATCATGTGACAGACCGAAGTAATGATGTTAAAAAATTCAGCTTTGATCACAAGAAAAAAATTACACGTTACAATATATTTACATAGAAACCAGTTATTTTAAATTGTAAAAATATTTCATAATTTTAACGTTTTTACAGTATTTTTGATTAAATAATTGCATCTCTGGTGAGCAGAAGAGACTTCTCTTACCAATCTAAAACTTCTGAAACGCTAGTGAATATTGTTTAGATTATGCTTTAAAATAATATTAATGATAATAATAAATATTGATAAATAAATAATATATAAATTATTATAAATTGTAAATTAAACATTGTATATTATAACATTTTATTCAATTGTAAAAAATGAAAAAATCAGCAATGTTATTGAGGAAACTACCGCACTATTAAAAGAATCATTTCACAAGGTCACTTGACAGAAGCAGTAAAGTGGTAGAACGACAGCACGTACCCTTCATGAGAAGCTCGTCTTTGGGAACGCTCTGGAAAAGCTTGTGGTACTGCGCATTATACTTGCTGACGGTCTGTGAGGAAGAGGAGGACAGAGGAATCAGCGGTTTGGCACAGCTCTTCTGCAGCCTGGCTCTCTCTCGTAGGGGATGCGAGCTCTGCACCAAACTGAGCATGCTGACACGACACACACACTCCACACGAGCCGAGAGACAGTGTGTGTACTGCGGTTACACTGTCCCGGGACCCGAGAGCCAGCTCAGCTTCGTCCTATTCCTGTGAGTGAAGTAAACAGCGTTTCTTCTTCCTTTACAAGCGTCTCTCTCTCTCTCTCTCTCTCTCTCTCTCTCTCTACAGGCGTGAAACACCCACTGCACCCCGACGGCTTGTTTATAGCGCATTGGTGTGTGTGTGTGTGTCTTGCTTCCTGCAGCTCACTGATGCATTTGGATGATGTTCATTAAGCAGATGGGCTGATCCAATCAGGAGTGCAGTGTGAATGTGTAACGCTTAGTGCAGTGTTTATTATAAATGATTTATCACTGCACATTATCTTTTTTTCATAATCTTTAAAAGGATAGTTCACTTTGAAATTCATTTTTGATATGTTTTATCTTACCTCAAGGGCATCCAAGATGTAGGTGTCTTTGTTTCCGCAGTATTTTCAATTTTGATATTTTTAGGTCAAACCGTTCATGTCTACCAGTCATTTAATGGAGGTCTATGGTCACCACCTCAAAGAGCAGCACAGAGAAGTCCAAATTAAACATGATTTAATGACTCGTACATGTAAGTACACACTGATGGCCTAAGACACGAAACGAGCGGTTTGTGTGAGAAAACAAACAGTTTTTATATCGTTTTTACCTCTTGTAACCACAGCCACAAAACGCCCATGCCATCAGATCAGTTGGACGTGGCTGTGGTTAGGTAAAAACAATATAAATACTGTTAGTTTTCTCACACAAACCGCTCGTTTCGTGTCAATGTGTACTTACATTTACGAGTAATTAAATCATGTTTAATTTGGACTTCTCTGTGCATGCTCTTTGAGGTGGTGACCATAGACCTCCATTATACAGTATGACTGACAGACAAGAACGATTTGACCTATAAATATACTGCGGAAACAAAGACACCTACATCTTGGATGCCCTTGAGGTAAGCTAAAACATACCAAAAATTAATTTCAAAGTGAACTATCCCTTTATTTGCATTTGTTATTTAGACAAATACAATCGGAGTTATAATATGACTCTGAAGCTTTATAATGGGAGGCAAGATTTTGAAATACAAAAAAAGTGCATCCATCCATCGTAAAACATAATCCATACCGCTCTGGGGTTAAGAAATGCCTTCTGGAGCGATGGGTTTTTGTAAGATAAATATCATTAAACTTTATTAGCTGTAATACTATGGCCTACTCTGATTGTAGCCTAGCCTATACTGTATTTTAGGCAGCAATAAAACAAAAAATGTTATAGAACACCAGTCTGCCTATTTTCACTTTCATTTTAAAAATCTTAAACATATTAATAGCCATACAAATGTGATTCAGGCAACAAGTAGCCTTCTCTGCATGAATATTAATAACAAAACGAATTATAAAACACAACCCTGCCTCTTTTAGTTTACATAATATGTGGTTTGGACAATATGTAGTCTGATTATCCTCAGACTACTATTGAATGAAACATGATATAAAACACAATGCTGTCTCTTTTTATTAAATGTCAGGATTAATGATCAATAATAGCTATTATAAAATATACGTAAGTACCAAGTCAGCGCTCTAGGCTACAACAGTGAAGTTAAATAAAAATAAAAAAAAGATTTGCCAGGGGACAAATTATAGATTCATGAGACCAAAGTCCGCCTGTTAAATATACACAAGACACATTATATCTCTCGTTTAACCTTTACAGAGACATCAGAGCCAGCGGCAAACGTCAGAAGGACTAACCGAGGAAGCTCTGAAAACGTCATACAGGAGCAATCTTGATAGATAAACCAGAGATTTGAGCTTTAAACAACTAGATTCTCGCCTGAAAACTCTAAAAACAATAACAATAGTATTTTGAATCAACCATTGGCGCTTGGTGGTTGATGCGAGATGCATTCTGGGATACCTGGCTGTCACAAATCTGTACTTGAACTTTGAATTGGAACAGAACTTGTGACACTTAAGAACGCATATTGGGAAATGACACTTGACTCAAACTTCCTGAGTAGCAAAGCTGTGGTCACAGTATCTCTGAAATCTAGACAATTAGCATTTTCATTTGTACAAACAGTGAGCCAAAAAGTATTTAGACACTTAAAGGAGTAGTTCACTTTTAAAAAAAAACTTTTGCTGATAATTTACTTACCCCCATGTCATCCAAGATGTCCATGACTTTCTTTCTTCAGTCGAAAAGAAATTAAGGTTTTCGATGAAAACATTCAGGATTTTTCTCCATATAATGGACTTCAATGGGGACCAAACGGTTCATGGTCCAAAAGACAGTTTCAGTGCAAACTGCAAACGGCTTTAAGCGATTCAAGACGATGATTAAGGGACTTATCAAGCGAAACAATCGCTTTTAAAAAAAATAAATAACAAAGTTTAAGTTTTATAAGCTCAAATGGTCGCCTTGCTCTGTTCTGTGATGCGCGTTCGTGACTCTCCTGTTTAAACTCGTTTATCAAAATGAACGAATCTTTTTTCGTGTCATTTGGTTCATTCAACGAACGAAATGAATGAGTTGACTCGGGAAAAGATTTGTACATTTTGATGAACGAGTTCAAATAGGATAGTCACGAACGCGCATCACAGAACAGAGCAAGACGAGCTTATAAAACCTAAACTTTGTTATTTATTTATTAAATGAACGATCGTTTCGCTTGATAAGTCCCTTAATCATCGTCTGGAATCATTTAAAGCCCTTTGAACAGTTTGCAGTTTGCACTGAAACTGTCTTTTGGACCTTGAATCGTTTGGTTCCCATTGAAGTCCATTATATGTTTTCACCAAAAACCTTAATTTCTTTTCGACTGAAGAAAGAAAGACATGGACATCTTGGATGACATGGGGGTGAGTAAATTATCAGCAAAAGTTTTTTTTAAAAGTGAACTACTCCTTTAAAACACAAGTAAAAGATACGATATCAAATGTATTTTTAGGAAATATAGCACAAACGTACAAAAAGCACTGTCATTTTCTTGTGTCAAATGTTAGTGGAATGTGTTCATAATTATTGTGACGGAGGCTACTACACTAATTCTCCTGAGAGCGCGCTTCACACACTCACTAAACACATCACTACGACACCAGGTGGCTAAAATCATTTCCAAAATGCTGAGTCATTCCTTGAATATGCCGCTTTTTCCAACTCAGGATTTGTTGAACTAAAAATCAGATTTTTTGGAGGAGGATATTTTTATTGTTCAGGAAACAACGAGGATTTATTCATCACATCTTATCCAGAGACTTAAAATTGCTTTAACTACACCATCTGGGAGCAAAATATAACATATCTGACAAACAGGATGAATTGAGATTAATGTACACTGTAAAAGATTACCGTGATTTTAACAGTAAAAGACTATCTAATAACTGTGGTATATCTATTGGTACATTTAATGTATTTTTACTGTAAAATACCATTCCATTTACAGTTTTTAAAAGTGAAAAAGAACAACTAATTGTATAATTTACAGTGAAAAAACGTAAATTGACATTCCCACAATTCCCTGCATGCTTGACACTTTGCATTTGATGTATTACTGTTGAAATAACTGTTTCTTCATAGTTTTCTTAGTTTTTTTTCTAATCAGGATTTTATGTTACATTTAATGTTAAATTAATGTTTATTGCATTTTTAAAATTTCATAAATTCCATTTGTGCAGCTTCTAAGTATTAGTATTAACTTTCTTGAGGAAAAGCTGCTTGTGATGAGCTTTGATTGATCATGTGACTCATCTCTATGGTGATTGTTGGTTGTCAGTGTAGTACAATGGTACAAAACAGATATTAATACTAGGAGGGTAATAGGAGGGTAAATTAACATTACATCAGATAATGAAATACGGTTTATTACTGTAAATTTTAAAGCTACACTGTGTAACTCTTTTAGTTTATTCTTAACTAAAAACACTTAGTTCTTTCAAAAATATGTGTTCATTAATGTAAATTTACTTCGTATTCTCGTGAGTGTATAATACGCTATGAAAATACATACGGGTAAGGGGTTCGCCATGTTGCCCCTCCATCTTGAAAGCACATTAGCCAAAGAGGGACATACCCGTTAATTCAGGCTTACGTTTGAGTTAACACTCATGGACGAGGTCGAACTGGAAGCCATGTTAATCTTGGACTACATTGGCCACCGTAGGAGTTAAAACGACATCGGAATTGAGAGGAACAGAAACTAATATTCACTGGATGGTCATATACCTTTTCACCACTAGATGGGGGTAAAAATCACACAGTGTAGCTTTAAGTTAAGTCTGTTAAACCAATAACGTTGCTACCGTATTTTTGACGATAAAGTGCAACCACAGCTGCCGTTTCTTTACCGTAAAAATTACGGTTTCATTTTTTACAGTGTAAATGTCAATGGAAAGCTTTACAGATCTCCTTTCTTGGTTTATGACAGAATAATGTCATATATTATACAAACAGAATCAAGATAGAAAATGCTTAGAAACACTGTATATGTTCAAATATACTTTCATATTTTGACATTCAGACATTTTAAAACATGAATAAAGTGTCAAACTATGTTTCAGGTCACTGTTATACAGGTTACGCATTACATAATGAAACTGAATCGTATGCCATCTGGTACTTACAGATCCACGGTAGCATTTCTTGAGGTCCTCAAATGACAGATCATCTATTAGATGCACCCTGTAATATATAGAGAGAGAAACATATGTAAGAGGTTCAACCCGAATAACCAACATGATTTAGTTTAAAATTGTCATGATAAGTGCTACAACAAAACTGAGCAAACACAGTCTTCTTAATCTCAGGGTGAACTCATGACAACTTCAGATGACCCTCATTCCTGTAAATGTGTTCATGCTCAGGCCCGAGGCAGAGAGCCGCCCCGTTACACAAACCTTATGACTCTTACATATTCCAGACATGAACTCGTGACATACCAATTAGATTTGATTTTGATGGTCCATTTAGATATTCTGTTGACTATAAATAAAGTGGCACATGTCAACTAACTCTCATTAGAGTATTAGTAGAGTATTAGCAGACTGTTAGAGTTAGGGTTAGTAGAATAAGTTGACATGTACTTGCAAAGTTACTTATAGTCTGTTGGGCAGATATTTAGCAGACTGTCTACTAATACGGTAATGAATTAGTTATATATAGTCAACAGAATGTCTAAAAGGAGATCTTCAAAATAAAATGTCAGATTTTTCCACAGTTTTCTATCCATTTATGGTGTTTCTTTTTATTTTGGGGGTATTTTTGAATTTATTTACTTCAAAAAGTACCATATTTTCTATGTATATTATGCTTATTTTTATGTTGTTGTTTTTTTACCTACATTAAAAATATCATTCCAATAAGTTCTTAGAGCTAAAACCTAAAGATAAAGTGACTTTGCTGTCTTATTTTAGAATGCTCTAAATTACAGTTTTTCCCATTCATTTCTACGGGTGCCCATTTTTGACCCAAATACAAGATTAAGGAGTTTTTTTCACCCACTTAACATTGTAGAAGTGAGTCACAAAAACAAATTGTGTGTTCAGGAGGCAAAATTAGGAAAAGTAGCCAAGTCTTGTACAGCTCAGATCAATGGAAGTATTTAAAAAAAAAAAAAAAAAATCAAAAAAAAAAAAAATATTTTGCCCACATTTGTCCAGAATACAGTTTTATGGTTAAGATATTTATGAATCAGATGTTATGCAAACTTGTTTTATATGTAAAGCAGGGTTTAAAATTAAGGATACAAGGCCCCTTTTAGGCTTTTTTTTTATGGATGTCAATGGAGGAGAGCTTTATGCACTGAATTAATTAGTTTAAAAAAAATGTAGTAGCCCAATTGGCTAAGTGAAATTGAGTGAAAAGTTCATTTTAAACCCTGGGTACAAGTATTTGCGATGGTATAAGGCCCTACTAGAATGGGTATTCCTCAAGGGTCAGTTCTAGGACCGTTTATTTTTAACATTTTACAAGAATGATTTTTCCAGAATTTTCAATAAATACTAATTGTCAAATGTATGCAGATAATTGCGTTATTTATGCATCAGCAAGTACTCCAAGTACGGTATTCAAAATGTTAACAAATAAAATGGTTTAATCGTCTCTGTGGATGCAAAATAATTGTCTGTCCCTATGAACATTTTTTCAACGTGTTCTCTATTAAAAATCAACAATTGCTGATTTTATCATTATGAATGATCAAAACTAAATCAAACAGAGAAAGTTTAGTCTCAATTGCAGTTTGATCAACTTTTTAAAAAAATGTAAAAAAAAAATTAATGCTTTCAAATGGTTTTCAAATTCAAATCTGTTAAAATGGTTTTACGCAATTTTTTAAAATTGCGTAAAAGCAATTTTAAAATTTAAATTTAAAAATTTAAAAAGCTAGGGTTTAAAAATTTAAAAAGCTAGGGTTGCCCCCTAGCTGTGTCAGGGGTGCCGCCAAAAAATTACGTAGGCTAAAAAAAATGTGAAAAAAAAAACCCAGAAAAAAAACAGCTGACATTTCATATATAAATATATTTGAATTTACATTCTTTTTTTTAAACATATGAACATATTAATAAAATTGTAAATTCATTTTAGATAAATATATAAAATTAATCATAAAAAAATCCGTCTCACAAGACCGAAGCAAGCACACACAACTTGACGCAAGTGACGCAATCCATAGCAACGCGTTATAGCAACACCTCAGACTGACAGAAACGTAAAAATAAACGTGAATTTAGGCCACTTTAGTTACAGCATTATGGATCGTTTTTGAAAAGAAAATCCCCACAAGAGCCGGGGATTTTTATTTTATTTTATCTGCATCCTGCACTTCATTTGAGTTCTCCTGGTCTGGATTTGTTATTGGGTTCTTGTATTGGGCGGTCCACCTCTTACGGTTTTATGGCATTTGTGTCTCTGATTAATTATTTTGTGAATTACTTTCCAAACCTGTGTTTTTAAAGGTGCTATAAAGTTTTTATTATTATTGTTATTTACAGTTCATATTATGCTCTGTTCATTACTGTTCTGTCTAACTAAACAAGACATTTGTAGCAGACCCCTCTCGAATGATGGACACTTCTTTACTGATGTCAATGAAGTTTTTTATTGAGTCTGTTTCACTTCTTTATGCTTTCAATAAATCACATCACCAATCACCGTAAGAGCTGAATAAAGTGTACAAAAACACGCATTAACAACACGCATTAAACTCTCTCAACGTCATATTATCAACAACATAAGTAAAATACAGACCTTGTGCCTTTTCCGAGGGGGTGCATATACCATTAAACTTCGTTAAACTTGATAAACAGTACAACTGCGCGAAGCGCGTGCTTTCTCTTAGCTCTTTCCACTATAACTCGCGCTCTCCCCTTACTTCCTTTTCCCCCGAAGCCCGCAGAACATGTCAAAATAAAAGTCCCACTTAATAAATTTTGTAAATCTAATTTAAACTAAACAGGACTATAAAAATATATACAAAAATGTACTAGAAAAATTATCAAAGTCTGTTACACTCCCACCAAATTATAAATGTTATATCAACATGCATAATTTTCAAGAATAAGTAATCACATTTCACTTATAAAGACCTTTGTGAGTGCATGTAAAGTCTCTTTGAAGATGTTTTTAATCTGCTTCCAATAATAAAACCAACTTCTGAGCTGGCCTCTCAACTACTGAGACCTTGTTCAATCGTTCTCCTTTCTTGTTCAGTGTTTTGTCACCAAGTGTCAATGTAACTTTCCTTACTAACCCATCTTGGCTAGTTACAGTGTCTATGATCCGACCTAATCTCCATACATTCCTTGGAAGGTTTTCATCCATATCCATGACCACATCACCAATCTGAAAGTTCCTTTTCGGAGCATGCCAGCGTTGTCTTATAGCAATGTTGTGGAGATACTCTTTTTTCCATCTACTCCAGAATTGCTCAGTAAGGTACTGTACCCGTCTCCATCTCTTTCTCCCATAGATATCTTCTCTTATAAACTTTCCTGGTGGTGGTAAGACTGTGGTGGCTTTCATAGTAATCAAATGGTTAGGTGTGAGCGGTTCCAAGCTTTTGGGGTCGTTCAAGTTATCCACAGTAAGAGGACGACTGTTAACTATTGCCATGGCTTCGTAAAACAATGTGCGCAGTGAAGCATCACTGAGCCTGCCTGATGCGAGGGAAGCTGTAGCATTAAGAACACTCCTTACAGTTTTGATTTGACGCTCCCATACACCACCAGCATGACTGGAATGAGGGGGATTCAAAACAAAATCACACTGTTTATCTGCAAGAAAAGCAGTAAGCCTTTCTGGATCAAGTTGCTTTAATGCGGAGTTCAGTTCGTTCTTAGCACCAACGAAATTGGTACCTTGGTCGCATCTAATCTGCCGTACTGTGCCTCTGACAGCAATGAAGCATCGTAAACTGTTGATGAAAGCATCCGTGGACATATCCTCCAACATTTCGATATGAACGGCTCTTGAACAAAAGCAAGTTAGAATCAGACCGTACCTTTTGTGCTGTTTTCTTCCTTCTTTAGTCATGAACGGACCGAAGCAATCCATACCACAATACACAAACGGTGGGGAAGACTCTACACGTTCTACAGGAAGATCACTCATCCGTTGTCCTTCAGCAGATTTTCTCAACTTTCTACAAGTTACACAATTGTGAATGTAAGATGTGACAACTCTGTTCATTCCAGGTATCCAATAGCCTGAAGATCTGATAGCATTAATCGTGAAACCTTTCCCTTGATGCTTAACACTTTCATGATGGTGTGCAATTATCAGCTTAGTTACATGATGTTCTTTGGGAAGAATCAGTGGGTGCTTGAACACATGAGTGCATGACGAGTGACTTAATCTTCCTCCCACCTTAATCATACCGTCCGTATCTATGAAGGCGTTTAGATGATATAGTCTGTTATGACATGGAAGCTGTTTACCTTGACTCAGGACATCCATTTCTTTCTGATAAACTTGTTTCTGCACTCCTTTTAGAATCAAGCATCTAGCTTGTTCTTGTTCACTCACTGATGCTGGTGAATTAGACTTATCCTTCTTAACCCTTCTCAGAAGACGTGCAATGGCCTTGACAGCATTAGACCAGGATGAAAATTTAGACAAATGGTCCACGAGATCTTTACTTTCTGTGGTTTCTGTATGAAAGGTCTGCGTCTTTCTGACTTCTGGATCACCTACTGGAAGTTCCGGTACAACATCTGAACTCACTATTTCTTTCTTCCACAGGAAAGACGGACCTGAAAACCAGTTAGATGAGAGCAATTCATGTATTGTTCTACCTCTTGAAGCATTGTCTGCAGGGTTATCATCTGTTGAGACGTACAGCCACTGTTTGGGCGCTGTGCTTTGACATATCTTTTGAACTCTGTTGGCTACGAACGTATGAAAACGACGAGCATCATTATTTATGTACCCTAAGACAACTTTTGAGTCAGTCCAAAAGAATTCATCGACATTGGTGAGGTCAAGCTCCTCTCTGAGCATATTGCTCATTTTGACTGATACCACAGCAGCCGTCAACTCTAATCTTGGTATTGTAGTGATCTTTACAGGAGTAACCCGGGCTTTACCAACGAGAAAAGTGCAATGAATCTCATCCTTCTCACTGATCATTCTCAGATACGAACACTGACCGTAACCACAGGTACTTGCATCAGAGAAATGATGTA